CATTTGTGTGATAAATATAACGGATATCTGACAATTACTGAACGTTCAGTGCCATCGACAGTCAATTTTTTTAGAACAATGATTAAACTCTTTGTCTGTTTCTACTAATTATTTTCACGAAAATGAAAGATTTTTTTTTTTGGTGATACGTAGTTGCATCTAATAGCACCCCTATCAGCCATAACCTGAACGATTTACAACGAAAAAAATGTACAAATGGATAGAAAAATTGATCAAAATAAAAATTTTTTTTACATGCCAGCCGTAATAATTTATTGACCTCCTTGCTGCCCTTCTCCATCAATTTTTTGTCGTAAAATACTGCAAATACTGAATGTCTTATATTATTTTTTTTCTTTTGCTGTTCTCGTACTTGAACAGTGCTGAAGTTCCGTAAAATTCATTCATTTAGTTAGGAAAGTCAAATGGATCAGACATTTTTGTTTAAAAAAAAAAAAAAAGACGTCAACGGATTCGCTGGATCCGTTAGCATCTATTGCCTGCGGATGGATATTTGCATTTCAAGGCCTTTCATTGTTGCTCCTAAAAATGTAATCATTTAAAGCATCATTGTTGAGAATAAAAGTAGACTGTTGAGTACATGTGACTCCGTTTAATTTATCCTTCTCTTCCTCCCTTCCTCTTCGGCAATGTAATCTGAGATCTATTTAAGTGAAAAAAGTCCGTAACAAGAAACTGGAAACTCTAAACCGTGGAATGGACTAATATTGATTACTAGATCCTCAAGGCCATAACATCAAGTTTTCGATTTTCTATATCATCACATTGAAGATATAAATTTCAGGGAAGTGATTTTGTTAGCGGTACCGAATCTCAACAACTAGTTCCCCCTCTCCCAACTCCCCCCACACACTAATGGATTCACCAACGTTGGTGTTTACATGCTGGTATTATTAGAACTTTTTCTTGTGGATTTCTTTTTTTTTGGCCACATTTTTCAACTGTTTTTTTTCTTTGCATTAATACTGGGAAATAATTAAATTTTTGCTGTAAACT